TCTCCCTCCCCTCCCTCTCTCCCTCCCCTCCCCTCTCTCCCTCCCCTCCCTCTCTCTCCCTCCCTCTCTCCCTCTCTCTCTCCCTCCCTCTCTCCCTCCCCCCTCTCTCCCTCCCTCCCTCCACCCTCTCTCCCTCCCTCCCTCCCTCCCCTCCCTCTCTCCCTCCTCCCTCCCCTCCCTCTCTCCCTCCACCTCCCCTCCCTCTCTCCCTCCCTCCCCTCCCCTCCCTCCCTCCCCTCCCCTCCCCCCTCCCTCCCTCTCTCTCCCTCCCTCTCTCTCCCTCCCCCTCCCTCACTCCCCCCTCCCTCCCCTCCCTCTCTCTCTCTCCCTCTCTCTCTCTCCTCCCTCCCCTCCCTCATCTCTCTCTCCCTCTCCCTCCCTCCCTCTCCCTCCCTCCCCTCCCCTCCCTCTCTCTCCTCCCTCCTCCCTCCTCCCTCCCCTCCCTCTCCTCCCTCCCCTCCCTCTCTCCCTCCCTCCCCTCCCTCTCTCTCTCCCTCCCTCCCTCCTCTCTCTCTCCCTCCCCTCCCCTCCCTCTCTCCTCCCTCCCCTCCCCTCTCTCTCTCTCTCCCTCCCTCCCCCCCCTCCCTCTCTCTCTCTCCCTCCCTCCCCTCCCTCTCTCTCACCTCCCTCCCTCTCCTCCCTCTCTCTCTCCCTCCCTCTCCTCCCTCTCTCACACAACTCCCTCCCTCCCTCCCTCCCTCTCCTCTCCCCTCTCTCCCCTCCCTCTCCCTCTCCTCCCTCTCTCTCTCATCCCTCCCTCTCTCCCATCCCTCCTCTCTCTCCCCTCTCTCCCTCCCTCCCTCCTCCCTCCTCCCTCCCTCAACCTCTCCTCCCTCCCTCTCTCTCCTCCTCCCTCTCTTCCCTCCCTCCCTCTCTCCCTCCCTCCCTCCCTCTCCCTCCCTCTCTCTCTCCCTCCCTCTCTCTCCCTCCCTCTCCTCCCTCCTCTCCCTCCCTCTCAAACTCTCACCCTCCCTCTCCTCTCTCTCTCTCTCTCCCTCCCTCTCCTCTCTCCTCCCTCTCCTCTCCTCTCCCTCTCCTCTCCTCTCTCCTCTCCCTCTCCTCTCCTCTCCCTCGTCCTCTCCTCTCTCCTCTCTCCCTCTCCTCTCTCTCCCTCTCTCTCTCCTCCCTCTCTCTCTCCCTCTCTCCTCCCTCTCCTCTCCTCTCTCATCTCCCTCCCTCCTCTCTCTCTCTCTCTCCCACCTCTCCTCTCTCCCTCCCCCCTCCCTCTCATCTCTCTCTCATCCCTCCCCCTCTCTCTCTCCTCCCTCTCACTCCTCACCCGCCCCCTCCTCCTCCCCCCTCCCCCTCCCCCCATCTCCCGCCTCCCCCCCTCTCTCTCCCCCTCCCCCCCCCCTCTCCCTACCCCCTCTCTCACCCCCCTCCCTCACCCCTCCCCTCCCTCCCCTCTCTCCCTCCCCCTCTCTCCCTCCCTCTCCCTCCCCTCCCCCCTCCCCCTCTCTCCCTCCCTCCCCTCCCTCCCTCCCTCCCCCCCTCCCCCATCCCTCCTCCCCTCTCCCTCCCTCCCCTCCCTCCCTCCCCTCCCCTCTCTCCCTCCCCCTCCCCTCCCATCCCTCCCTCCCTCCTCCTCCCTCTCCCTCCCTCTCCCTCCCTCTCTCCCTCCCCTCCCCTCCTCTCCTCTCCCTCCACCTCTCCCCTCCCTCTCCCCCCTCCTCTCTCTCCCTCCCTCTCTCCCCCCCCCCCTCTCCCTCCCCCCTCTCTCTCCCCCTCTCTCCTCCCCCCTCCCCTCTCTCCCTCCCCCCCTCTCCCCCCTCCCTCTCCCCTCTCTCCCCCCTCTCCCTCCCCTCTCCCCTCTCTCTCCCCCCCTCCCCTCTCTCCCTCCCCCCTCCCCTCTCTCCCCTCCCCCTCCCTCGTCTCTCCCCCCCCTCCCCTCCCCTCCCTCCCCTCCTCCCCTCCCCCCTCCCTCCCTCCCTCCCCTCCCTCTCTCTCCCTCCCTCCCCTCTCTCTCTCCCCCCCCCTCTCCTCCCTCTCTCTCTCCCTCCCTCCCCTCCCTCTCTCTCTCCCTCCCTCTCCTCCCTCTCTCTCTCTCCCTCCCTCTCCTCCCTCTCTCTTTCCCTCCCTCCCCTCCCTCTCTCCCTCCCCTCCCTCTCTCCCTCCCTCTCTCCCCCTCCCCCCTCTCTCACCCCTCTCTCTCCCTCCCCCCCCTCTCTCACCCCTCTCTCCTCCCTCCCCCCTCTCTCACCCCTCTCTCCCCCCTCCTCTCTCTCTCCTCCTCCCTCCCCCCATCCCCCCCTCCCCTCTCTCTCCCCTCACTCCCCTCTCCTCACCCCTCCCTCTCTCCCTCCCCTCTCTCTCCTCCCTCCCCTCTCTCTCCCTCCCTCTCCCTCTCCTCTCTCCCTCCCCTCCCCTCTCTCTCTCCCTCCCCTCCCCTCTCTCCCTCCCCCCTCCCCTCCTCTCTCCCTCCCCCCCTCCTCTCTCTCCCTCCCCCCTCTCTCTCCCCCCCCCCTCCCCTCTCTCCCTCCCCTCTCTCCCTCCCCCTCCCTCTCTCCCTCCCCCCCTCCCTCTCTCCCCCCCCCCCTCCCCTCTCTCCCCCCCCCTCCCCTCTCTCCCCCCCCTCCCTCTCTCCCCCCCCCTCCCCTCTCTCCCCCCCCTCCCCTCTCTCCCCCCCCTCCCTCTCTCCCTCCCCTCTCTCTCCCCCCCCCCTCTCTCCTCCCCTCTCTCTCTCCCTCCCCTCTCTCATTGGCATTGTATGCTATTATTAAGCTTGTGATCTACCAGAACTCCCAGATCCTTCTCCACCATTGATTCCCCCTAGTATGTATGATGCATGCATATTCCTAGCCCCCAAGTGCATAATCTTACGTTTATAAATCTCATTTGCCACATAGTTGCCCAATTAAACAGAGCATTGAGTCAGCTTGTAAGACATCCTCTAAGGATGTTATTCTTCACAGCTTGGTGTCATCTGCAAGACTGAAATAGTATTTTAAATCCCAGACCCTATAGCGTTTATAAATATATTAAAAAGTAAGGGTCCCAACACTGAACCCTGGGGTACACCACTAACAACTCTAGACCATCCATGGTATGAATCATTAACCACTACTCCTCTGAATACAATCTTTTAGCCAGTTTTCTATCCATTTACATATGGATTTTTCCAAGCCTTTAGACTTTACCTAACACATAAACGTGTGTGGGGAACTGTGTCAATCGCATTTGCAAAATCCAAGTATACCACGTCCACTGCCACCCCTCTGTCCAAGGTTTTGCTCACCGCCTCATAAAAAGAAATCAGATTTGTTTGACAACTTCTGTCTTCCATGAATCCATTCTGTCTGTTGCTTAAAGTATTTTTTTCCAGCTAGAACTCATCTATGTGGCCTTTTATTAAACTCTCCAGTATCTTCCCAACTATAGATGTTAACTTAACAGGTCTATAATTACTTGGTAAAGATTTGGACCCCTTTTTAAATATAGGCACCACCTTGGCCTTATGCCAATCCAGTGGTACTATGCCAGTCATTAAAGAGTCCCTAAAAATTAAAAACAATGACTTTTTGTAAAGGGCCTACATGCTCAGACCGGACCTTTTTACTATTAATATATTTGAAGAATTTTTTTGGGTTGGTCCTGCTATCTTTTGCACTCTGTCGTTTTGTTTTGAATTTTTGCAGCCTTTATTTCCTTTTTGCATATCCTGTTTTATAGTCTTTGTAATGTTTAAACGATTATAGTGTTTCTTTCATTTTTATATTGAATAAAAGCTCTTTTTTTCTTATTATTTATAGCTTTTTTTTTTTTTTTTTTTTTTTAACTTTGGCCATAAACCACATAGGTTTGATTTTTAACCTTTTAAACTTGTTGCCCAGGGGAATAGATTTTGCAGTGTGTTCACATAGTCTTTTTGAAGAACTCCCATTTCTGTGTTGTGTTCATCAATGCCAATATTCCCTCTCGGTCTAAGTCTTGGAGAACAGCTCTCAGCCTTGGAAAATTAGCTCTCTTAAAACTGAGCGTTTTTATTTTTCCCATATGTGCTTGTTTATAGCTAACAAAAAATGAAATCATTTTATGGTCACTGCTACCCAGATGTTTTTATATGGACATTCGTAATAAGCTCTGCATGGTTTGAGATTACCAGGTCCAGCAGAGCATCATTCCTAGCAGGTGTCTCTATGAACTGTTCCATAAAATTGTCCTGTAGTAGGTTTATAAATGTTTGCCCTGTAACTGTTCCTGCAGTACCATTACTCCAGTCAATTTCTGGGTAGTTAAAATCACCCATTATTATCACTATCCCAGCCCTTGTAGCCCTTTCGATCTGCGCAAGGAGCGGAGTCGCACCTGCTCATTAACACTGGGAGGCCTTAACAAACTCCAATGATTAACTTTGTATTACGCACTCCCATGTGCAGTTACACCCATAATGCTTCAGCCTTACCACACTCTTCATCACTAGGTCCTCTTTCACACTCGCTCTGAGATCACTTCTCACATAGAGACAGACACCACCACCTTTCCTATTTACTCTGTCTCACAAAAGAGAGCACAGCCAGGAATATTAATGGCCCAGTCATGTGAAGAATGAAGCCAAGATTCAGCAGTACCAATTAAATAATAGTTCTCTTCATGCACCAAAGCTTCCAACTCACCTATTTTGCTCGGCAGACTTCTGGCATTGGTGAACAAACATTTTAATTCATTGACGCCTTGTAAACACGTATTTTGCATATTTTATTATTTTCATACAAATGGTACCAATTCCATTGGTTGTTTGTAACATGGGAACTGACCCCTGTCTGATCTTTCTGCCCCATTATAATCTAATTCTCCCTCCCCCTTCAATCCTAGTTTGAATACTCCTCCAGCCTCCCATAAACGTCTTCCCCCCTTTTTTTCTTCCTGAAATTTTGCATTTAATCTTAGGTTGGCAGTAACTAATTCAGGTTGAAAACCTTTAACATTTTGAGACCTTTTTTCTGTTGTAGGAAATCATGACAGATCTTATGAGCCAAATCCAGAGCCTACGGACAAACCTCTTACACAAAACGGAGTCTATAGATGTGCTTACACAAGAATTAGAAGATCTCAATGTATGTGCACCATTCCATTATCAAATGCTTTCATTAAGTTTTCCTTACTTTTGTATCCTGTCATTTAAAATATCTTAGATGTGAAAAATGAACATGTTGTATGATGCTGGGATTTTTGTATGAGCCATTGCACATAATCTAATTTAAAAAGCAGTCTGTAGATTTTCTTCTACAGTGGTGATAGTGTCCTCTCTGATTAAATCCTGTTTGTTTTTTTGTAGAGTAAATACAGCTCTGTCTTATCTGCTAAAGAGGAGAGCAAAACTCTTTTAGAAAAGCAGGAAAAACTAATCGAGGAACTGAGAGAGGGCTTGGAACGGAAACAGTCAGCTGACAATATTGAGGTAAGATTTGTGAAGTAACCTTTATTGATGTGTCAATATATATCTAATTCTCGCTAGTGGGAAAAGTACCTTGTGCTTGAAACACTGCATCGGCTAATAATTTGTAATTATAGCATTGCTTTATTAATATTTTTGCTTTAAATAACAGAGAGAACTTTTATGTGATGACTTGGCTCACGCAACTGAACAGCTTGGCAAGTTAACTGAAGCCTTTAATAATCAAGAAGCATTGCTTGTAGAGCAAAAAGAAGAATTACTCAAAAAAGAACAATTAATTGCAGAACTAACAAACCAGGTAATCCAACTATTTAATGACTCTTTTTAATAGTACGTTACCAGGAGGTTTTAGGGCATGCATAGATGGGCATTGTTACCTGCATTTAATGTTTGTTTGAAATATTGTCAACTCAGGTCAGCTGATTTCTATTTACCTCAATGGTGCAGTAATGGATAGCAGTTCTGAGGTTGCATTTGACCTGCTTTGCACTGCATTTTATTTCTCTGGATGCTGCATGTCCTTTTAGAAGGTGCCTTTGAGTACAAAAGGCTACCTTTACCTTCTAGTACAAACACATGCATTTCAGCTGCATGATGTTTAAATGCAAAAGCCTTGGTTTGACATAAATGCCCATCTACACAAGCCCTTATGCATTTATTATTCTTGATAGCAAACTTGTTAACCACTTGCCCTCCTGAGGATTTACCCCCCTTCATGACCAGGCCTCTTTTTGCTACTCGGCACTGCACTAATTCAACTGATAATTGCGCGGTCATGCAATGCTGCACCCAAACGAAATTTACGTCCTTTTTTTCACACAAATAGAGCTTTCTTACGGTGTAATTTGATCACCTGTGCGCTTTTTATTTTTCACGCTATAAACAAAAAAAGACCAAAAAATTTTAAGAAAAACGATATTTTTTACTTTCAGCTATAAAAAATATATAGTAAACTCAAAGTTAGTTATAAATTTAGGCCAAAATGTATTCTGCTACATGTTTTTGGTAAAAAAAAAATCCCAATAAGTGTATTGATTGCTTTGTGTGAAAGTTATAGCATCTACAAACTATGGTATAGATACTGCAATTTACGCCATTTTTTTGCTATACAGCGCTGCGCTAGTTTAACGGACAATTGTGCGGTCATGCAATACGGTACATAAATGAAATTTACCTCCTTTTTTTCCCCCCACAAATTGAGCTTTCTTTCGGTGGTATTTGATCGCCTGTGCGGTTTTCATTTTTTGCGCTATAAAAAAAAAAAAATAAAGGCTGACAATTTTGCGGGAAAAAAAAACAATATTTTGGACTTTTTGCTATAAAACATGTCCAGTAAAAAAAAATGTAAAAAACAAATTTAGTCATAAATTTCTGCCAAAATGTATTCTGCGACATGTCTTTGCTAAAAAAAAAAAAACCCAATATGTGTAAACTAATTGGTTCACGTGAAAGTTATAGCTAATAATGGCGGCGATCAGCGACTTATGGCGGGACTACGGCGGACATTCTGACACTGGGGAGGAATTGACTTGGGGTTACTGACATCCCCAGTGACACCAATACAGTGATCAGTGCAAAAAAAAAAAAAAAAAAAAACACTGAAACTGTACTAATGGCACTGGGGAGGAAGGGGTTAACTTTATTATTCAGTGAAAGGGTTAACTGTGTGAGGGGAGTATTTTACTAGGGGGCGGGAGTGTGTACTGCACGGAGACACACTGATCCGGAGAGATAAACTCTTCTGTCCCGATCAGCATGTCAGGAGCTGTCAGGGAACTGACAGAAAGCACAGCTACTGCAGCTGTGCTCTCTGTCAGTGATTGCCGCTAATCGCCGGGACATAGCTGGTAACGACTGGCTGTGACCCGGCGACTGACATCCGCGGCCGTGATCGACGGGACGCCCCCTACCTGTTTTGAAAACACACGTTTTAAAACGTGGTTTTGCCCAGCCGTGCTGCCCTGCCAACGTATTTTATACAGTGGCTGGGTGGCATGTGGTTAAAGTCACTGTTATTTTGTGCTTTAACCCTATGCGATACTGTTTTTGTTGTAACAAGTTACATTTAACCACTAGGGGACCGCCCACAGTGCATATACTGTGGCAAGGCGGCTCCTGTGCGCAGGATTACGTATATAAACATGATCCTGCATTTCTGGTATCTGTGCTGTTGATCGCGACCCCCGGGTGTCAATCACTGGGTCCCGGCCGGTGATTACCCAGCGGAGCCTGGTGATTACCGGCGATCACCGACAGGGAGGACGGCTGCATTGTTTTCAATGCAGCCATCCTCCCTGTCAGTTTGGGCACACTGATCGGGATAGATGAGCACTGCCATCCCGATCAGTGCGCTTACAGTGAAGCGAACGCCTCCTAGTAAAACACTCCCATCACACAGTTAACCCTTTGATTGCCTCAAAATGTTAACCCCTTCCTCCCCAGTGCCATTAGTACAGTGTCAGTGCTTTTTTGTTAGCACTGATCACTGTATTGGTGTCACTGGGGATGTCCGTTTCCCCGCATTGTCAGAATGTCCGCCGCAGTCCTGCCATAAGTTGCTGATCGGCACCATAAGTTGCTGATTGCTGCCATTATTAGTATTAAAAAAAAATTCCAGTATCTATACCGCCATTTGTAAACACTATAACTTTCACGTAAACCAATTAATTTACACATTTTTTTTTTTAGCAAAGACGTGTCGCAGAATACATTTTGGCCTAAATTTTTTATGATGAAATTTGATTTTTAAATTTATTTACTGGACATGTTTTATAGCAAAAAGTCAAAAATACAGTAGTGGGGGTTTTTTTTCTCAATTTTTTTATATAGCGCAAAAATTAAATGCACAGGCGATCAAATACCACCAAAAGAAAACTCTATTTGTGGGGAAAAAAAGGACATAAATTTAATTTGGGTGCAGCATTGCATGTCAAAGTAACGCAGTGCCGTAACGCAAACTGCTTCTGTAACTGCTTCCTGACCGCCCTATAGTAGAAATACTGCTGCAGGGCGACACGGGTGCACAAAATCACGTGTATATATACGTGATTCACGATCCTGTGGCTTTCACTCCCCTCCCAGATAGCGTCAGATTGCCCGTCAGTACACCAGTAATCACATTTAACCCCTTGATTGCCAGGGCATACCACACACACTTTTTGTGGTAGAGATTTCTCCTCTTTTTTTTTCATTCAGCCCACAGGCTGTAAACAAAAAAAAAAAAACATCGCATCATCCTGGTATCGCTTTTTTTTTTTTTTTTTTTTCTTTTTTCAGCTGGCGATCGGCTTTCATGTAAAAGCAATCCTAGTGGCTAATTAGCTGCAGGATTGCTTTTACAAGCAGCGGGAGACTATGTCCCTTCCCCTGCTGCCTTCTCAGGCAGTCCCGTGCCATCGGGCGAACCTGAGAATGCAGCCGGTGTTTCTACCAGCTGACCATAGAGCTGATTGGAGACCGGAATGGTGCCAATCATCTCTATAGTCTAAGAAATCGGAAGCTACGAGCATTTCATCACTTCAGTTTCACAGGATATAAACTGCGCCATTTGTAAATTGGGAAAGCATCTGATCACACCGATCTTGGTGAGATTAGATAATGTAAGAGCAGAGGAGATATCTAGAGTCTGATAGACCCCAGATTTCTCAAAAAAAAAAAAGAATATATGACAATGCCCATTGAAGTTATAGGGGATATTTGCAGTCCTTGTGATAGCATTAAAAGTGATTAAAAAAAAATGAAAAGGACATTGTAAAAATATTTTAAAACCTCAAAATAACTAAAAAAAAAAACATGCAACATTTTTAAAATCCTCAATAATGAAGGGTTGCCTGTAGTTTTAAATATTACAGTATTACTGGTTTGAAAATGCTGACTACGCCTTGTTTATGTAAATCATATGGTAAGCTGATTTCTCTTTTGTGTACAGGTGCTTGAAATGCCAGAGGCTGTTGATGATGAAGGAATAAAACCACCCAACAGCAACAAAGGATCCCCTGCTATGCTTCTACAGGTAGTCTCCCAACAAGAACATATTTACTTTGTTACTTTTTGTAAATTGGGCAGATTTACTTAAACTCAGTCTATTTCTTTGTAGAGTAAAATCATGGCATTTTAAAGGCAACCAATACTTTTTTGTGGTAGTGCACTTCCACCCCTTCTTATGTGTGGGATTTCCCCATTATATTTACAACATGACAATATGGTGGCGAGATCATGCACAAGAATGGCAACACACTACCCCACAAAGGTGGGATATTGCTGCTATATTGATCTGCACATCAAAGAGGCAGAGGCACAACATAGTGTGCATGCTTGCTTATAGCATACAATATCACTGCGCATGGCTGGGGCACATTGTTTCACCATTGGTTGAAGGGCACCCACACACACGGTGCATAATTACAATATAATGTGCATACATGGGAGTATTCAACTGCAACTGCTGCATTTTATCTTAATTTTTATATTACTTTGCTATACAAAATTATGTAAATGCTTTACTGCTATGTACATCTACTCAACTAATCTACTATATAATTACTTGGCATATACAATCTGTATAACAGAATGAAACAAACTGAAACCTAAACTCCATTTTACAGGGTTTTTTTTTTTCCAATTGTAATGTATTGCAGCTTACTAGTGCTTAGATGTGGTGGCCGCAGCAGTTTATTTTTAAAGCTAAGAAAGTTTTCCGCAAGTATTGAAAATACCTGTGGATCTTGATAATTTCCTCCTGTAATGGAGATGAAGAGAGAAAGACATGTTTGAAGTCCAGCCATGGCTTCCTCCATAGATTCAGTGAGTGAGCGTATCAGGACTGGTATGTACCACCGTGGCAGATGGATTTGTGGTTCTTAGAAGTACATGAGATTATCGCACTTGCAGTACATTGACACTTCCTCCAGCTCTTTAACAAAAAGCCCATACCTCGAGTATAGAATCTGGAGGAAGAGTCTGCAGAAGCCTGGCAGGTGTCTAGCATCACGCATTACACCCGCAATCAACTGATCATGGTTGTTAAATGACCATGGAAATCTGCAGTTTTGCATTTTTTTGCAAAGATGCCCAAGCTTAATTCAGTATTCTGTTTTGCCGTTAATTAAAGGATAAGTTCACCTTTTAGACAAAATAATAAATGCACATTTTTTTGCTGATAAAAAAATGTGCATTTATTAATTTTGTCTATAGGAGCCTGCAAAGCATTGCACCAGCGATCAGTAGATCGCTGATGCCATGCAGGTCTCCTGCTGACCTATCGGAATATCTGCTTGCCGTACGGGATGAACTACCACGGCAAGCCACAGCGCCATGGATGTTCATTGAAAACTACATGCCTACAGCCGGGACTTGAAATTCATTAACTCACAGAAGTCTGTGAATGAATTATGCGGCCATGTGGGTAGAGCCTCGCACTGCCACTCTGTGTTCAAATTTGACAGATTAGTATGGGGAGACTTCTCCCCGCATTATCTGTCGGGGGGGGGGGGGGGGGGGGGGGGGACCGGCTGCGCCTATGGAAACATGTTACATGTTCCACCCTGAAAACAGATGTAACATGTTCCCGAAGGTGAACTTATCCTAAAGCTTTGAATAGACTTCACAGAAAAGCTTTTTCAATGTGCCTTTAGGTTGGACCACACCCTACAGCTGCTTCAGAGATAAGAGAATAACAGATGAGGAAAAACAAAGGTTATTGTGTTAGCAATCGCTATATTAACACCTAACATTTTTTTTTTTTTTTTTTTTTACATAGACTCCAAAAACTCCACTAGGAAACCCATTTGACTATGAGATGGCACGTCTTGTCAATAAAAACTCACACTTGGAGCAGCTTATATCAGAGTTAAATGAGGAAAGAATGTCCAAAAATGAAGAAATAATCCGACTCAAGGTATATTTTTTTTGGTAATAGAACATTGCTATCAACCTAGAACTCCATGGAGCACCATTAATATCTGAAATGTACACATCGCATAAGCGCTAATATTTTTAGTAAAATAACCTTATCTATGGGAATTCTCCCCGCTTCAGACCATCCTGAACTCAGCTGCCAGACTCATCCACCTCACCAGCCGCTCCACCTCTGCCACCCCCCTCTGCCTTTCCCTCCACTGGCTCCCCATTGCCCAACGCATTAAATTCAAACTGCTCACTCTGACCTATAAAGCCATTCACAACACTGCCCCTAACTACCTCACCGACCTGATTCCCAAGTACCACCCTACCCGTACCCTTCGCTCTTCACAGGACCTCCTTCTATCTTGCTCCCTGGTCTCCTCCTCCACGCGACGACTGCAAGACTTCTCCAGGTCCTCCCCCATCCTCTGGAACTCACTACCCCAATCCATCAGACTGTCACCTTCAGGCGCTCCCTGAAAACCCACCTCTTCAGGGAAGCCTACCCCACCCTCACCTAACAGCCGCTGCCCTTCCCTCCTCCTACCACTCCATCCCCCACAGCCATTTCCTCCTGTACCTCTACCCCCTCCCTCCTAGATTGTAAGCTCAAAAGAGTAGGGCCCTCTTACCCCTTGTGTGCTGTTTGATGTTACTGTACTGTTTCATGTATTGTCCCCCCCCTATTGTACAGCGCTGAGCAAACCCTTTGGCGCTATATAAACTCGATAAATAAATAAATAATAATAAATAAATAAATTGGCTTACGTTTATTGTGTCATTCTGCCACCAGAATCTCCAAGACTTTGCTGTGCCCACTAAATCATGTTGAGAGCACCATTTTCATTAATAAAAATTAGGATTTCTGTGATTGCCAGGACGCATGTGAGTTAAGTCATTACTACATGGGTTATGCTTCCACCTTCAGGTGAATGGACTCCTGATAAAGCCCAGGTCCTTAGAGACTGGGGTGTTTCAGACTCTCCATTTGATTCTAGAGAAATATAATTATTACAGAGAAGCTGTACTATAAAAATGTCAGAAAATGTACCATTATACTTGGATGGCTTATTTCACTTGGTGTGAAATTTCATCCTCGGTAGTATGTAGTAGACTGGATTCTAGCTTTTCTCTAGTCTTGTCTGGGGATGTCCTTGGCATTGAGTACCATCGAGGGACAATTCTCGTCCTTGGCCATGCTATTTTCAAAGATCCGTTGAGTCTCATTCCTTGATCAAAATCTTTCATTCAGGGTGTTACTCAGATTGTTCCTCCTGTGTGATGCCCTCTATCTCTGTTGGACCTTAACTTGGTCTTGTCTGTTTTACAGTCGTCTCCCTTTGAACCCCTCTGTGAGATTCCCTTTTTATGCTCAAGGGGAGAAGGTTGCCTACTTAATGGCCATTACCTCAACTTGCAGGGTCTCTGAGTTGGCTGTGCTTTTCTGCAAGAAACCTTTCCTGTTACTTCACCAGGGTTAGGTGGCGTTGAGGCTTCAATCCTTTCTTGCTTAGGTGTCCGTTTATGAACCAGTGGTAATAGATCGCTGCTCAGTTCTCCGCATTCTCGGAGAACACAGTTCTCCTGTGAATGCAGTTTATGAAGCAGTTCTCCGAACGAAGGGAGAACGGTCTCCAAACGCTGGAGAACGGTATACAAGCTCTGGAAAACGGCTGATTTTACTATAATCTCCCGAGATTACAATAAAAGATCAGTTTACTAAACAGAGGTAAATTATCTCTGCTTAGTTTGCGGTCCCTCCGATTCTCCAGCTCTGGGCTGGAGAATCTGGAGGGAGAACACAGATCTCCAGCGAAGGGCTGACATGATCTCCTGAGTGTCATAAACTGTGAATGACCAGAGAATAGCTGAGATCCGTTGAATCGCAGCTATTCTCTGTGTCATAAACGGACACCTTAATGCGGGTAGTAAACTGTGAAACAGAATTTTAAAAAAAATAAGCATCGCATACTAGCACATTATGAAAGACTTACCTGAAAACAAAGCCCTCTCAGCGGTGAGCTGTCACCACATAGGGCTTCCATCTTCACCCCGGTCTTCCTTTCGGGTTCATGAGCTGCGGCTTGTTTGAATGGCTGAACTGCGTCACTCCTGTGCATGTTTGTGTGAGCCGCAGCCGCGGCACAGCTTTCTCAATGGAAGGCATGCCAGTGAGAGCACATATTGCATGTGCCAGTGACATCACCGGCGCTGCTAAAATAAATGCCTTCTAAACTGTGCACATTTGAGAGATATTTACTGTACCTACAGGTAAGCCTTATTTATAGGCTTATCGGTAAGTTTAAATCAACAAAAGGCCTTTACTACTACTACTTTAAGGTTATTTCTCTTTCACCTGCATCAGGACATTGTGCTGTCATCCATTTTCCCTACTTCTTAACATCCAAACAGAAGACTTCGTTATTTGAATGTTATTCGGGCTATTTGCAATTATCTAAATTCTATGGCTTCATTTAGACTGTCTTATTCCCTGTTTTTTCTGTCTGAAGGACCTTGTAAGGCTCAGGATGCTTCTAAATCTACTATTTCTAGGTGACTTCTGGAATCAAGGGCTAGGCTCCTCTTTTCCTGGTTCAAGCCTCTTCCACAAGTCTCAGTGCATCACAGGACACTTTAACTCTGGCTTGTTCCTCCTTCCTCATTGCTTGCTAAAAACTCTAGAAGGGGTTATGCCTGGGCAGGGTCCCCTGCCTATATTTTTTTTTTTTTTGGTAGAGTTTTCACCTAAAGGTGGCAGCATAACCCATGTAAGGACTGTTAACTCCTCTGTGTCCTGTGATGTACTCCAAGAAAAGGATTTTACAGGTAATCTAAAAATCCAAACTTTTCTCCATTTTAAACTGCTGTTGGCATGATCAAGTCTGAGAGTCTGGTAGAAAAATGCAAATCTGACACATTTGTTAAGAGTTTGCATACACATAAGTAATAACATTATAGTACAGTGGGACAGTGCAGACTTTCCATTAGAAAATGAGAATCTACACCTAGATAAGTATAGTAATTCCATTTATACATGGTTATTTCCTAGGCCTATTTGTTCTCTAAAGTATGTGATGGTATGATGCAGCTATTTCTATGGACACTAGAGACACTTTTCCATTCTTGGAGGGCAATGCACAACTTATAAAGTTGTCGAGTAGGCTCAAGACTGGTTAATCTGTTACAATATGAGTCAACATCTCTTGTTATACAGATCCATTTCCTATAGAGGAGGCCAGCACTGACTTTTTGCTTTCAATATGAGTTGACTGTATTTCGTTAGGGATAGGCTTCTAAAATCCTTTTTTTTTTTTTTTTGTTGTGACCCTACAAAAAAAATCTGTTCCTTTAAAGCATGATCTATAGCATAGTTCTTCTGCAGTGTAATTTGTCCCATTGTATTATGCAAAATACCTGGTTGATCCTGTGTCCCCTTTGTATGCTGACCACGATAATCATGGATGCTGATCCATGATACCGTGGTCAGTTTACATGCCTCTGTTATCACGCTTTCTGCTCTAGGTCTCTCCCCGTCCCTCCCTGCTTGTCCTTTTTGTGTATGTGCCAAATTCTGTGTATGCGAGAGCCAATCTCCTCCCTGCCCCTCCCCTCTCCTCCTGACGTTATTTTCTGTATACTATATTTGAATCGCTTGCATCCCCTTTGGTTTAAGAAGATTTTACTGTGTGTGAGTTTTTTGAAAATTATAATCCTAAATACCTTCTCCCACAGCTCTGCTGTGCAGTCATGTTATCTCCCTCAGTTCGCCGGCTGACATCAGCAGAGAGTCTCAGCCCCTCCCACCACTCTGCTTAGATTGTGGAAGGAGAGTGGAGGGGGATCACATGACCTCACAGCGGAGCTGTGAGTGAAGGAATTTAGGATCATCATTTTCAAAATAGTCCCTCATGGTACTTTTAAATCTTAAATCAGAGGGCTTGCAAGTGATTTTAAATTACTTTACAACCACTTAACAGAATCCTTAAATCCTTAAGCAATAATTGCCTTCTCTGTTATGTTTTAGATCCAGTTATGTGAAACAGAAAATCTTCATCTTGAGATCCAGAACTTGCAGGGACAATGCAGCGAGTTACAAATCCAGCTAAAAAACTGCAGAAAAGTAGAGAATAATTGGTATGTAACAAAGAAAGCCTATTTTAACACATCAGTACCTCCTCCTTCAAGCTATACCACTGAGTAGTTTGCTCAGATGAGCTGATGACCTGGTCCAGAAACAGACCTGTGATAGGCAATGCTATGGTTCTCTTCCACATAGGCATAGTAGTGCAGTACTTAAAGCTGAACTAAACCCTCCTACCCTTCACAGCCAGGGAAGCTGCTGTTGGATCTGCAGTTGCCATGGTGCTGACCATGTGATCAGCTATGACACCAGCCATTTGATGGTCTGACAGTTTGGTTAAGTGCTAACATAAGCACACAAGTAACTGTGTAACAGTTATCATTCAAGGCATGCCTTGAATCTGTTTGGGAAATCGTTAAATTGGTGGGTTTAGTTTCCACTTCAAACTACAAGCCTAGGCAATTGAATATACATGATCACTGTTGAAGAGGAGCAGCCAATTTGATCTGCTTTTTTTTCAGCAGAGATCACTTGACAACATTTTCTAGCATTTTGTGTGTGCAGCACTAGAGGGAGCATAGAATGACTTTCTCCAGAGGTGAGAAGAATTTTAGACATCTCTTTTTTTTTTTTCAGCAAAACATGAAATAAAATAGCTGCATGTGAACCTTAGATGTTAGATTTACTTTAAAGAAGAACATGAGCTGAAGATATTTTGATAAAGAAAATTAGGGTTGTAAATCTGACTTTGCTCCATATGCCGTTTCTGTGCACTAAAGTTCTCCTCACGCTGATGTACTGCTTCAGTCCCTTCTTACGACTTTTTTCACTTGTGTCTGAGTAAATATTACCAGAACATAAAGATCATTCTTACAGCTAGGCCACTTACTGCAGGTTGTAACAAAGATTTGAATCAACAGTGTCTGTGCAAGAGGGCACAGGAATTTGATGTATTTTGCTAATGTGCACGGCCCTAAAACAGTGTGTGACCGTTCTTTAAATGGTAAGCAACTTCACTGCATTATATTTACAGGCTTATATTCTCTGTTGTATGATTGCAGCAATGAACAGTCAAAATCTGGCATGCTGGACCTGAAGAAAGAAATTGAAAAAGAAGTTTCTGAACGTCTAGAAAAGGTAACGGCTAAATGTCCTTTCTGACTTTCTCCTGCTCTATGGCCTAAATTAGTGCAGATACATATTAAAATGTGCAAAAATGTCCATAGCTACCAATCAAATTTCATATTTCTGCTGTCAGATGACTTGGTCCTAATAGCTTGCTATAGGTGATTGGATCCTCCATATTACCACTGTACTGCCTTTATATAAAATGCAAAAAAAAACAACAAAGCCATAGAAGACACATAATAAAAACTACATTCTAGGCTGAGCTGTAGAGCAAGAAAATGGTGTGAAAGAACTGTATACCGATCTGATAGCATTATTCCAGTTTGTTAGCAGTAGGGGAGCACTGAAATTTCCGTGGCCGAAACATTCCAGCCGATATGAAAATAAGCATCAATACAGGTGCCGAAAATAACCCCGCCCCCTTGCTGCTGCCATCCCCTGCCGCAGCTCGGTAGTTCTCAGCCTTACCTGAGAAACCACCAAACGATCCTGGCGCTTGGCATAGAGATAAGTGAAGGAAAGATGGCCCCCCACTCATCTCTATGCCCTTGGAGGACTGGAGCAATGTCACTTCCAGTTCTGGCGCCTTGTAAATAAGGCCTTTTTTTTTTTTTTTTTTTTTTTTTTTTTTTTAAACCGCTTTAGCGCCGCCCCATAGCAGAAATACTGCTACAGGGCAGCAGCTGTGCGCAAAATCGCATGTATATATGTGATTCTGCATTTCTGGATAGGGCGCACACGCGCCCTACCCGTGCCGCCATTCACAGACTCAATCACCGCGTCCAATCCGGTGATTACTCGCCAGCACTCGGTGATATGCCAAACATCTCCAACGTGGGGGGGGGGGGGGGGAAAGAACTATTTGTAAACAAAACTGTTCCCTCCCCTGTCAACTCCTGCACACTGCTTTGCATGCGAAGTACAAACACAGCACACAGTTAACCCTTTGATTGCTCCACTTGTTACCCCTTCCTGCCCAGTGCCATTAGTACAGTGCCAGTGCTTTTTATTAGCACTGATCACTGTATTGGTGTCACTGAGGATGTCAGTGACACCAAGTCTGTCCCCCCCAGTGTCAGAATGTCCGTTACAGTCCCATTATAAGTCACTGATCGCCACCATTACTAGTAAAAAAAAAAAAAAAAGCGAAGTATATATACCGCCAATTGTAAACACTATAACGTTCACTTAAACCAATTAATTTACACTTATTGGGATTTTTTTTTTTTAGCAAAGACATGTAGCAGAATACATTTTAGCCTAAATTTATGACGAAATTTGTTTTTTTTTTACTGGACATGTTTAATAGCAGAAAGTCAAAAATAGTTTTTTTTTTTTATTCTCAATTTTTTTTTTTAATTATAGTGCAAAAAATAAAAACCGCACAGGCGATCAAATACCACCAAAATAAAGCTCTGTTCGTGGGAAAAAGGGACGTAAATTTAATTTGGGTGCAGAGTTGCATGACCGCGCAATTGTCAGTTCAAATAACGCAGCGCCATAATGCAAAAAATTACCTGGTCAGGAAGGGGGCATAAATCCTCTGGAGGGCAAGTGGTTAAAGCACTAGATCAATGCTTTTTTTGATCCAGTGCTTTACATTGTACAGGAGAGATGTGTGCGTTCTTATTGACCCCATATCTCTCCATAAAGAGGACATGTCACTAATTATTTCTATCATGCGGGGATGCATGCATTCCTTGTTATAGGAATAAAAGTGATTGCAATTTTTTTTTTTAAGGGATAATGTAGAAAATAAATAAATAAAGGTAGGCCATGCCCACATATGTAAACGGTTTTCAAACCACACATGTGAGGTATCGCCACGAACGTCAGATCACTCATGGAGATTTTTATGTACTGTAGTTTGACGCCATTCCATGAGCATGCACAACTTTAAAGCATTGGATGTTTGGTATCTATTTACTCGCCATAACATTATCTCTCATATTTAAAAAAATTTATTGGGGTATATATTTTTTGGGGGGTTTTTTAATCATTAAAGTGCATTTTTTTTTTAAATATATATTAATTTTTTAAAACCTGTCCATTTCGGTTTTCGGCCAAGTGCATCCTGAATTTTCGGTTTTGATGCACCACTAGTTAGCAGACATCCAGTAGTGGCAGGTAAAAGGTGGTTGTTTTTTTTTTGTTTTTGTTTTTTTTCGGAGGGAGGCCAGTTCACACGATTGCATCTTCACAATGCACCTGTGTTGCAGCACACAGTACATTGCATTGTACAAAAATACTGCAGGTATGCTTTTGGTCAGTTTTGGTGTGCTGGCAGTCCATTCTTATTCATGTGTTGCACAACACACGCATGAATGTGCATGTAACTCGCCAAAGCGGACTAGTGTGAATAGGCTTTTAACAAGAACAAATTTAAAGTGTTACTAAACCCACAGCAGTAAAATCAGTCTGTATATGCAGTAAAGCATGCATGTTATACTCACTGTGGAACCTAAGGGGTTAATCCTCTGCATTGTGTAAAAAGGATTTTAATCCCCTTTTTCTACTGTCCCCAATATATCTCCTGATAGAACCGAGGCTTTGAGGCAAGCTGCACATGCTCAGTGTGGTCTGTATTGCTTTTTTTTTTTTTTTTCTTCTTCTTGGGAGAGTGCATGTGATCAGAACAGGACCAATCTGCACTCTCCACACAGTGTGTCCTGCCGCCTCTTAGGGGAAAATGAAAACTCCTACATGCTTTAACCAGCACTTTGCTGGATACTGATAGAAGTCACAAGACTGCTCTAACTGCTGATGAGAAAAGATATTTAGCAGTTTATATTTGCTAAACTACTAAACTAATTCAATTTCCATGTTCTGTGCACTGAGAGAGACTAGATATGGTGAATGCAGGGTCCTAGGTTTAGTAACACTAAGTATAGCTTACAGTTGTTTGTTTTTTGTTTTTGTGAGGAGTTAGAACCACTTACAGGTGTTTATTGCTGTAGGTGTCTTCATTAGGGAGATTCACACTCTCTAACTAGCCTGATCACCAATATCACTGGGAATAAAAGTGAAGGTAAATCCTCATTTCTGAGCTGTCACTATAACTGGGATAGAGGGGAAATCTTCAAATAGGGACACTTGTTCCTCTCACTTCCTGTTGCTTCTACTGGATAGGACGTAAAGGGAAATGAGACAGATGGTAAAAGAACTGACAGCATTCCTGTGGGCCCTTCGAGCCAACCTTTTGATACAAGGGGTTCGGACGCAAGTGGGGGAGGTGAAACTGGCCGCCTTCACGGATGACATATTGTTGTTTCTAACTGAACTTTGCTCTGCCTTACCGGAACTCTTACGGGCTCTGGAGCATTTTTGGTCCCTGTCCAATTATCCATTAATCATTCCAAATCCCATGTTCGTAACATATCTTTGCCGGTTGATGAGGTGTCCTAATGTGTGTGCAACTTTCCTTTTACTTACCTAGGCTGCCTGATAACTTACCTAGGATTCCAACTACCTGCAAACTTGTAGGATTTGTATAAGGCTAATTTCCAACCACTCTTATCCAACATAGTTGGGGACCTTAGCGAGTGGGATCGATCCTGTTACTCATGGTTTGGCAGAGTAGCCATTCTTAAAATGAATGTGCTACCTCGCCTCTTTTATGTCTTCCAAACTGTTCCTATAGCTCTACCGGCAGCTTTCTTCTCATCCCTGAAGCGCGCAATGCTTGCGTTCTTATGGCAAAAGAAATCTCACAGACTCAGTTACGCCCTGGTAAACAACAAGGTGGGCTAGGCCTCCCAGACATTAAAAAATATCACTGGGCCTGTCATTTGTCCAGGGTGGTTGATTGGTCTGTGCATGACCGGGTGAAGGGTTGGGTCTCGGTGGAACAACTTTTTTCTGAAATGCCTCTTTACACTTTACCTTGTATATCATCTGTCGAATCCCACAAGGGGATGAAAACCCACCCACTGCTGGGGCCAACCCTACGAATTTTTCATCAGGCCAGTAAACTTTATTCTATTTTGTTGCTTTCTAGGCCACTAACGCCTTTGCGTTTTTAATCCAGACTTTCCTCCTGGGGTCTCTGGGACTTCTCTACAAGGGAGCTGGCTGGGGAAAACGTTAAGGGCTCTCCACTTTTTTGACAGGGTGGTTTAGAGACTGGTTGGCTCTCCCCATGCAAGCTTCCAATAAACCACTGCCCTTTTGGGCCTACTTTCCAGTCAGACATTTTCTTAATGCTCCTTTTGACCCGATCCACCTATGCACGCTCTAGGACGGCTTTTGAAACCGCCTGCTCGTCGGAGCAACCTCAGGCTCACATGATCTCTTCTATATATATGTCCCTGTTCCCTGCCTAGCCGCCTCCTGGTGCTAATTCAGTGGGATCTGAATATTACCCTTACCGCGGAAGACTGGGAGGACTTTTGTCTTTATACACACTAGGGCTCACTGAATGTCAATATTCTGGAGAATGGTTATAAGCTGCAATCTCGATGGTACTGTACTCCTACTGTGGTCCATAGGTTCTGCCCAGCTGTACCTGATCAATGTTGGTGGTGTCATTCGGCACAAGGAACGCTGCTGCATATTTGGTAGCAATGCCCAGTTTTAACGAATTTCTGGCAGGAGGTCCATCGTATTACCACCGCTGTGACTGGAACCCCTCTGGAGTATACACCTGCAGTTTTTGCTACACCACTCGGGGTTACCTAAACAATCGTACTTTAAGTCCCTAGCGATGTACATGTTAAATGCTGCTCAATTGTGCATCCCTGTCCAATGGCATTCGGATCACGCCCCAACGGTGGTGGAGAGGATTTCACACTTTCATAAGACCTGGATGTGTTGGCTTCAGTATCAAACTCAAACTGATTATATTAATCTTCAGGGTGAACTTTAACTCACCCATAAGGGGTGTTCCCAGTAGACCTGCAGAGGACAGTGAGTACTTTGTTTTTTACCAGGGGGTGTGTTGTGTGGGCGTATTCTCTGCCCCTTGGTTAGCGGCGGCATCCTTTCTTCCTATAGTCCAATCTTTTCCCCCTCCCCTCCTTTCCTCTTTTCTTTCCCTTCTTCTTTTCTTTCCGCTCTCAATCTACCCCTCTTTCTTTTTTTCCCTTCCTCCCTTTACCCTCACTCTCCCCCCCCCCCCTTTTTTTTTTTCCTTCTCATTTGCATCTCAAATTTGACCTACTGTAGCTTTTTCTTTCGTTTGTGCAAAGAGTTTATACCTATGCAGTCCACTGCCACAGTATTTTGGCTTCAAATAGACAGGTAATTTGTTGGCCCTGTATGGTGGGAGGAGTCTTGGTCATATTTCTGCTCCCTGTGTACTGCTGGCTGACCCTTCCCATGTAGTTCATATAGCTCACTACACATCTATTAGTGGGGCGTGTGCACCCCTTTTCTGATCACTCATGACCTTGGTGTATCACTGTTGGAGGCGCTTGCTGGAAAGTCTTGAACCTCTGAATAGCCACTGTTTAAGCTATTATATTATATGGTTTGTCACTGTTTTGCTGGTGGTGCCACTTTGTTTTATACTGATTTTGTTTGGATTTGCTTTGTAACATTTTTGCCTGATTGGATGTGTATATTGCCATTTACTTGTACCGCATAATAATTGTTAATAAAACATTTGTGGTGAGAAAAAAAAACTGACAGCAGTTTTAACACTACCCTATTCAAAATGGGTGGGGGGGGGGCGTTGGCTTTAGATTTACTTTAGTAGCTCTTTTGCATTTTTATTTGTGTCTGCATCTCTGTTTGGGAGATCTAGTCAACTGTCAGAAAGCAAACGGAAATCCCGCTGTTGACAGTGGTCACCAGAATTAGAAGTAAAAATCTTTCACTAAAAAAAACTGTTCTGGCAACTACCATCAACTGTGTTATTTCTTCTCTTCATCCCCGGGACAATAAACAAAACAAATCTGATTGTTTTTAAATAGGAAGAGAAAGATTTGACTAGAGTTCTACCTAATAGTTTGTCCACATTTCAGTTTTGTGACTTTTAATACTAAAATTTAAATGTGGTACAAAGGAATGCAATAAAACTAGAACAGGATAATGTACTTGACAAACAATTCATATTATCACTGAACCTGTGGCTTTATGATTTATGTGGATTTATGATTTAATCTGCATGTAATTACTATATAGTCGTTTTGAGAAATGTTACTGTTTTCTTTTTCTACAACAGGGTCGAACATCTGAGCAACTTTTGAAATTGCAAGCTGAGTAAGTTTGGTAGTTTTTGCTTCAGGCTAAACTGCACATGAGAATTTTAATTTTATTTATTTTCTGTAGCAGGAAATGAGCCTTTGCACTTTAAGATCCATGTGTCAAACTACACTTTATTGCCAAAAGTATTGGGACGCCTGCCTTTGCACGCACATGAAGTTAAATGGCATCTCGGTCTTAGTCCATAGGGTTCAATATTGAGTTGACCCACCCTTTGCAGCTATAACAGCTTCAGCTCTTCTGGGATGGCTGTCCACAAGGTTTATGTGTGTCTATGGGAATGTTTGACCATTCTTCCAGAAGCGCATTTGTGAGGTCAGACACTGATATCGGACAAGAAGGCCTGGCTTGCAGTTTCCGCTCTAATTCATCCCAAAGATGTTCTGTTGGTTTGAGGTCAGGACTCTGTGCAGGCCAGTCAGGTTCCTCCACCCCAAACTCGATCATCCATGTCTTTGTGGACCTTGCTTTGTGCCCTGGTGTGCAGTCATGTTGGAACAGGAAGGGGCCATCACCAAACTGTTCCCACAAAGTTGGGAGCTTGAAATTGTCCAAAATGTCTTGGTATGTTGACACCTTAAGAGTTCCCTTCACTGGAACGAATGGGCCAAGTCCAACCCCTGAAAAACAACCCCACACCATAATCCCCACTCTACCAAACTTTTCACTTGGCACAGTGCAGTCAGGCAAGTACCGTTCTGGCAACCACCCAACCCAGACATGTCTATTGGATTGCCAGACAGAAGTGTGATTGGTCACACCAGAGAACACGTCTCCACTGCTCTAGAGTCCAGTGGCAGCATGCTTTACACCACTGCAACTGAAGCTTTGCATTGCAGTTGGTGATGTAAGGCTTGGATGCAGCTGCTCGACCATGGAAATCCATTCCCTGAAGCTCTGTACGCACTGTTGTGCTAATCTGAAGGCCAAATGAAGTTTGGAGGTCTTTAGCTATTGACTCTGCAGACAGTTGGCGACTTTTGCGCACTGTGTGCTTCAGCATACGCTGACCCTGCTCTGTCAATTTATGTGGCCTACCACTTAGTGGTATTATAACAAAGTGGAAGCAGCCGGGGAACAACAGCCACAAACAGTTGACCATGGAATGTTTAGTAGCAGGGAAATTTCACAGATGGACTTATTGCACAGGTGACAACCTATCACGGTACCACATTTTGAGTTCACTGAGCTTCTGAGAGCGACCCATTCTTTCACAAATGTTTGTAAAAGCAGTCTGCATACCTAGGTGCTTGATTTTATAGACCTGTGGCCATGGAGGTGATAGGAACACCTGAATCCAATGATTTGGAGGGCTGTCCCAATACTTCTAGCAATATAGTGTATGTTAATGGCAACAAAGTCCTAAAGGATAAGTTCACCTTTTTGAAATAAAATGTTCATATTTTTTCAAGTAAACGCGCATTTATTATTTTTATTACTTGGAACCTGTAATGCATTGCACTCGTGATCAGCAGATTGCAGGTGCCATGCAAGACTCCTGCAGACTTGTCAGTGTATCTATCTTGTACATTGTACATGCAGGCAGGTACACAATGACAGAAAGAGACAATGAACTACCAGAGCGCTCAACAGCGATATTCTAGTTTGAGAACTACAGGCTGACAACCACAAAGGCTGTCGGTACTTGTAGTTTCCCATTCACAGAACTCTGACTGAAAGACACAGCCAGGTGGGTGAAGCTTGCCGTCACTAGAGGCTGCGGACAGACTGTGGCTACAAGAGTGGGAATATGTTACATGATCCACCCTAAAAACGGGTAGAACATGTAACATGTTCCCAAAAGTGAATTTATCCTTTAAAGTGACAATATATTTTGGTTTAAAAAAAAAAGAAATGTATGTACACTATTAACCTAAAGCTAATAACATTTAAAGTATTTTTTGCCCTCCGCTGCCTCAGGCTACATTTGTCCTCCATGACCCCACTGTATGTAGGAACATAGTACTTTTTCCATTTCAGAAGGTAGCGAGAGGGTGTGTTAAAAGCAAAGCATATTACATCAACTAACACGCACTGCTTGTTCCAAACAAACAGAAAATGAGGGGAGTCTCATCTGTAAATGTCCCTGAATGACATAATGATGTAGCCGGCACCTGGCTACACTTGGCTTTCAGGAGACTTAACAAGTTTCTCGAATTGCAAAAATTGCAGGGGTTTTCTGGCATCCGTGGATAACAAAGTTGCTTAACCTAATGTTCCAATATTTCCGCCTCACCAAAGGTTTGTAGTAGAGAGCCACCACTTCCAGTTTGGGGTCCTGCTGTTTGGCCTGTCCACAGCTTCCAGTGTGTTCATCAAGGTTCTAATGCTGTTTCTGAGACTTACTTTCTCAAGGTTTTCCTGGTCTATAAGACATCTGAAGGACTTGCTTTTGAGAGAACAATCAGTTTCTCTGCTGGCGACCAATGTGTCTCTCGTGGTGCACACTCTGAAGAGGTTTGGATGGGTTCTGAATCTTTAGAAGTCTACATTAATCCCAGCCCAGAAATGGTTAGAATATATGGGCCTGATCCTGGAATGTGTATGATGGAGTAGTTAACCATTTGACGACCGGGTAACCAACAGTAATTTTACTGCTGTCCAGCAGCTTCCCCAGACACTGCGACATACCAGTACATTACACTGCTCAGACGTGAAGCAGCATTATCTGCAACTGTTGTGTCCACCGGGAACAGTGGATTGCAGTGCTCGGTAACTGTCCACTAAGAGCAGTCCAGATACCACGTGATCACTGTGTGATCGCATGTCCCCTAGAAAACAATAGTCATGAATGGAATCCATTCATGACATCTTTGTTTACTACTGTGTGACCTGTGATTGGGTGAAGTCCTGCTTTAACTTCTAAGTATGTACACATCAACTGACACTTCACAGGCTGCATACTCTTTCCAAATCAACAACTTAGAGGTGATAAAATGTAGAAAGTTGTGCCAGCTAGCATAATTCTGCCCAAAAATATATTATTTGCTAGATTCCATTTTTGTCATCTTGCAGTTCTCTGGTTTATTTTTATATCTATGTAGGTTAGAAGAGGCGAGACATATGCTTAGAAATAAGGAAAATTCACTCAGTGAGCTGCATAAGGAACTGGGCCCGAACAAGAGCTTTAGAACTGAAGGCCTTCCAGGAAAAAGAGGATATCCGGTCTCAAATGGAAGCAAAAAATGAAGAGACTGAGAAGAAGTTACAGGTAATAAGAAAAGTGATATACTGTTTTTAATTGCAAATTAACATATAGTATTAACGTTACATGCCACTTTTCGTTCTCTACCAAGAGCATCTAGGTCCTAATTTGTAAATCATAGAAAAGTACAGGATATCACAGCAATGGGCATTCTAGCTTTTATAACTGATCTATTTCTTTGGGTTACTGCAGTTTTCATACCCTTACTATACACATCATATGCTATAAGAGTGTCCCTTAGCACATTACGCAATGCCTGTAGCCTTCTGTCCTTCAAAAATTGAAAACCTATTGTTTAGTTGAAGTAATCTTTTATACCAACTAGCATCTTTATAATGTAGTGGTACCTGTGCAAACTGGCCATTTTTTCTATGGACAAAGCTCTGACACTTCTGGCAGTTACAACCTGCCCACTCCTATTCCATACACTTCTATTGGCTAGGGAGACAGCCATCAACCGCAATTGACCTATACAAATGTGTGAAGTTGGGAGGACGTGGGCAGGCTTCAAAACAACCAAACAGCCAGGATTCAGATGTAAAAAGAGTAATAAAAGCTGCAAATACTTCTTTGTCCCTGGACTTTTATACCTGCTAGCAGTTTTTTTTTTTATTAATTCATTAATAGGAAAAAGGACAGTCCTGTATGTGATCAGATAATGCTTTTGTATTCTTTATATCATCCTAAACATCATTGTCATACAATCCTCAAACACATGTTTGATTTCAATGGTATACTGAAGGATACTGTGCTACATAACCACATCAAACTATTTCCAGACATAAGACCGGGTACCTTTCAAAACCAGGTAGCCTATGTATAAGTTGACCATTATATCAAAACCAATATAAGTGAACAATCCAGTGATCCAAATTATAATTGTGACTGTATATATCAATATAGAATGTGTAATGAAACATTTCTTTATAGAAATAGACCTTTCTTTTGTGTGTCTCAGTCTATTGGTGTTATTTATGTCCTGAATATTTTCTCCCGTGTGAACCACACAGTGAATCCTCAGCCAGGAAATGGGCTTCACAATGCTAAATCATCATCCACCTCTTCTTCAGTGACGCTCACCACCATTAATATATTGCCCTCACCTTAGGATATGAACCCAATACACTGATTAGGTCGGCCAGTGCTGACATCAATAGGCTGAGACACACAGAGAATTTGTCTTTGTTTAATTTCTATGATGATTCTTTAGTTACACATTGCACTTTGTATGCTCTACTGTAACACTTTACAATTTGGATCTCCGGATCGATTGTTCACTTATTTTAGTTTGATATAATGGTACAGATCTTTTTTGTGGTAATGGTTACCAATATATTCGTTAGGTTTTTTTTTTTCATGGAAATAGTTTGATGTGATTAGGTAGCGCAGTGTCTTTCAGTATACCATTTTCTATTGCTTTTTGCAGGAACGCAAATTGATGTTTGCAACAGCTTACTATTTACTTTTTACATTGGGTATTTCTAGTTTGGACAAAGAAGGTAACCTAGGAGTAATACAGTTCTTTATTAGAGCACATCTGTGATTTTCGACTGCATTCAAACTTGAGCTCTGAGCATCTTTTTGTATTTTTCAGCTTTTTTTTTTTTTTTTTTTTTTCTTTTTTTTGAACATTTGTACAATTTATGCGGGCACCTGAGGCTTGAGTGTTTTTATAGTTTTTACCCAATCGCAGGAGAAAATGTGATATGTGCATTTTAACATGTTTTTTCACATGTGTTTGCGCATTTTTTGATCCTACTGAGGCCAAAAATGCTTGAAGTTTGTAACTTTCTCAGCTGCCAGCATCACTGCACACAGGTGTGAACAGGCACAACTGGAAACGATGGGATTTTGGATGTTGAGCATTTTTGAAGTTTTAAGTTACAAAATGGTCAAATGTGATTGGGGCCCAAGAATTATCTGCCTGCTTTTTGTCTGAGATTTGCCCATTGGTATTAAGTTGAGCGCTTTCTGTATTGAGGTTTTAAATTCAGGGTTTCCTTGCTTACCACACAGTGTGCTATTTAATATACCCTATGTGTGTTTTCCTACTACCTGATGGACTTTTATGTTTTAATGAGTGTTCACTCTTACCCAAATAAGAACACAGACACAAATAAAAATAAGGTACTTGTGCCCCCCCGCACCCTCCACACTTTCTTCATGATGGGTGTCATGGTGATGCAAAAAGCAACATTTTTTTTTTCTTTTTAACAGGAACTGGTTAAGAACTGTTATGCTTTTTTATTGTCTGTGCCCCTGTTGAGGGGGGATGTCCCCCACTTTCTTTCCAAATAACAGATAATGGCTAAATTAGGCAGAGTTCATCAACAGAGTTTTTTATTCTGCTCCAAGAGATGGGTGTCAGTCTATTGTGGATTAGTGATTCTAGTCATTTGTGTGTGCTGTTTTTAAATGAGGTTTTATTTTTTTAAATGAGGGGTGTGTGTGCATGCGTGTGCCAGCCATTCTGCAGATCAAAAAAGTATGTAACCATACACTTGCTTTAATAAATGAACACCCTGCTTCTACCTGGGATGGATTAATTAAAGTGGGGTTGACGAGGAGTGATTACTGATGAAAAGTGCTTTCTTTAAAAAATATATATATATATATTTTAATAGAGAAATTTTTTCCGTTTAGTCTCTGGTCATGTAGTGTTCAAAGCATACACCTCACAGCAGGATGTCTGAGGAAATGAACAGATCCATAGTATTATAAATAAATTGCAATAAAGGCTATTACTATTATATGTTAAAAACATTATCTTCAGAGCATAGAATAAATATCACTACTAAAGTTAATGCAACTTCCTTAGGACTTAGATATAAATATTAATATAACCAAATCTTTTTCTCAAAGGCCTGTTATTTAATTGGATTGTCTTGATAAACATAAAATTCATGAATCTCAATGAGACTTTCAATTTCCTCCCTGCAGGAGTCTGAATTGTTAAGAAGGCAGATTGCATCTCTTGTGGAAGAAAACGGGAAACTACTTGGACATCAAAATCCACAACAGAAAATTCAGTATCTAGTGAAACTGAAAAAGGACAACAACAAACTTATTGAGGTATGACACACTCATATTACTGCATGTAGATGGATTCCAATATAAATATTTAAGGCCTAACCTGAATTTGTTTCAGAAATGAAGCTATTGAAATCAATAGAAATGCATGTGGATGCATGTTGCACTTTACATTTCATGCCAGTGTGCATCTTGACATGCGTATGGATGGCTTTATTTTTTTCCATTGATTTTGCATAGTGATGTGAACCATTTTCTGCTTTGTGGTGCACTGGAAAAAAAAAATGCAGGTGCACTGGCAGACCATTCAAAATAAGTAGGCTGCTTTTCCACAACATACTTTACCTGTGAGATAACAGATATTAATGTGTAGTAATACACCACAAAGGTTTGAATCCCCTAAAGTGGGTTAGAACCCCTGTCAGTGTTCCCACTTGAAAGATTAACTCTCATTTTGTCCTGATGACTACGGTCATGGTCTTCGAAGAACCTTCCCCTCCATTTGGATGGATTTCCTCTTACTTGCTGTTGTGTCTTCAGGGCAGGAAGTGTCTCCCCAATGGGACACAGTGCAAGAAAGAAAGAAAAAAAAAAACCCGACTGGGGTTTAATTATTTCCCACTATCCAAAAACTAAAAAGTAAGCTTTAGATAAACTATTTTTTTTCTATTCGTGGAGTTTTTATATGTTCAACCAACTTGTATTTATGATTTTGTAAGTGTAACCAGAAAACTTGTGTCTGTTACTTGATTGTGTGACCCAGAAAGTTTACATAATTTAGGACAAAATAAAAACCGTTTTTAGTCAGTCATAACTGGCATTAGACAATTATCACCTAAGTAGCAACAGGTAAAACTGGTTCACGGCTGTATTGATGATGATCTGATGGTATGGGGAAATGCCTGGTTTCAGCAAATAATATGAACAGCTTTTTGAATACAGCCCAAATGTGTACTGTACATAATGTAAGATACCATCTGCTAACATTTTTATTTTTTTTAAGTCAGTCTTTGAGTTCTGTCATGACAAACATATATCATATTTAATGTATATATCAGGTATTTAATATTTTGCTGCTTTTCTTAAATATGTGACTTTTCTTCTTTCAATCATAGGAGATAAACAAACTACGAGCAGAAAACCTGCTATTCAGAGAAGGCAAGAAACCCGAACAATATCCTGACTTTTAAGAAGTGAATTATGTTTGATGCAGACATGGCTATAATGTTGTAAATGGTAACTTAACATTCTGAAGCAACATTCAGCTCCACTGCCATAATATCACCATGCCAGAACCAGCCTGCAACCAACTTGTAGTGATGACCCACATTCACAAAGAGCAGATTCCATGCGGATGGATGCATGCAGAGAAAAAACAGGTTCTCTAGAATGATCTCTTCCTAAATGAAGTTACAGTGTTACTAAACCCAGGACCCTGCATTCACTATCTGATCTCCCACAGTACACACAACATGGAAGTGCAATTATTTTAGTAAATACAAACTGCTAATTACCTTTTCTCATCAGCAGGTAGAGCAGTCTTGTGACTTCAGCAGAGCACTGGTTAAAGCTTGTAGGAGGAGTTTTCTTTCTGCTCTAGGAAGATGCAGAACCCCGACCTCTGCCTGGACAGTGCTAATTGGCACTGTGCTGATCACATGCACTCTCCCAAGAGAAAAAATAAAACTCACTAGCAATGAACACCAAACTGAGCATGTGCAGAGTGACTCCACATGATCTATCTTATCAGGAGAGAAGAGGGAGGCACTGGAAGAAGGGGAGGATCAGAGATGAAAGGAGCTAACAGCGCTTTTATACAATGCATAGGATTAACCCCTTAGGTTCCACAGGGAGTATATCAAGCATGTTTTCCTGCATATACAGACTGATTTTACTGTTGTGGGTTTAGTAACACTTTAACTGTAACTTGTAGTGGAAATAATACAATTAACAAGATTTTAAATGAAACTCTTTACCATGCAGCTTGGTTAAAATATTACTTTTTCAAGATGACCAAACATTTGCAGTACATGCAAGTACTAAACACAATTTTTTAAGGACATGTAGGAAAGTATGTATATCCCATTTTTTTAGCTATATACAGAATCCATAAATTTGAAAGCCTCTCTTGGTAAGCCGTTTCATTTTAAAAGAAATAAAAATTTGTACTGGCCCTTTTGTTACACTGTCTGATTTGTCACGCTCACAAGTGTGACAGAGGCGATTTTTCTGCAGAAGCACATTTTGCATGTACCATCAAAGTTCATGAGTAAGGACATGCCATAGAGAGCAGTGATCTGTGATGTACCTTTACAATTGTATAAATTTGAATGTTTTCAAGCATTACAATGGCAGCTTTATTTGTCCAAAATAATGTAGACATGTAAATATTTGTCATGTGCTTGGAGTTTGTTCCTTTTACATGTGTTGTCGTTTTATGTGATGTATAAACTGGTCACTGCTTGTATGATAGATGCAACCAGGTTGTATAGTTGAGATACAGACAGAATTTGGTGGTGGAAAAACTGAACGGATATTTTTCCTATCTCCAAAGATTGATTTGGTTGTTTAATAATGGTAAATAGAACAGACTTTTATATTATCTCTGATTTGTTAATGTCGTTTTACCACCATATTTTTGGGAGTGTAAATAAAACCTGTTACTCTAAGCAACAAATAAATGATTTTTTTTTCCTCCGATTTTATTAAAAAGTTTTTATGAACCTTTTTCTAGTGTGGTTATTCTGCTAGGCGCGTATATCAGGTCTTTAAATAATAATTTCTGGCCATGATGCATACAACATTTAACAGGTTCCCACCCGGCATATAGCCAAATGGCGGCTTGCAAAACCCCTCGTCCCTTCGAGTGGACGCCATATGGCATCCTTTCGGGCATGCGCAGTTTGCATGCCTGCAGAGCCGCACAGCGGCGTGATCTGTCACCAGCCGTGTACCTCGGACACGGCCAATGACAGATCTGAGTACCGGCCCCGTTGCCGGTACCATGTGACCTGCTGTAACCAATCACAGCAGGTCACATGACAGTTGTATACAATGGATGGCTTAATTCATGCCATCCATTGTATACTAGCGTGGCTAGCTGTGAATGGTCACAGCGATCACATGCACAAGCTGGGCCAATCACAGCCCAGCTGTGTCATGTGATTAGCCGTGGCCAAATCACAGCTAAGCACAAAAAAAAAAAAAAACCCTGAATGAATCGATGTAATTCCGGTAAATGCTTGCCTATAGCAAAATAATTCTTTGCTATAAGCAAATTGTGTAAAAAAAAAAAAAAAAAATACTGATCGCTTCCCCAAAGTAGTACAATGTTACTATGGTAACATTGTACTACTTTGGTCATAGTGAAATATGAAAAAATCTTAAAAAAAAGAAAACATTTAATAAACAATTTAAAAATAATAATAAAAAAAAAAAGAAAATGTTTAAAAATTATAATTTATTTTTTTTTCATACTGTCACCAATCAGTGTCCCTGATTACCGCCATGCCAGTTATGATGACGCTGTACTGCACTGATGACAGTATGTAAAAAAAAAATAGTGAAAATAAAATAATTTTTTTCATTTTCCGAAAAATTATGACAAAAAAATACAACTTCAAAAAACTCGCCATGCCTCTTATGAAGTACGTCGGACTGTCTACTTTGCAAAAAGGGGTCATTTGGGGGATATCTGTGTACTGTTCTGACATTCTTGGACCTCAAGAAATTAGGTTGGCTGTCAGTACTTCAGGATTGATCAATATTCAGATATATCCCATAGTTTGGTGAAAATAACCCAAATTAGGATGTATATTTTAGTCTGTAGGAAAGTTATAGAGTTCACAAAGACATGTAGCAGAATACATCTTGGCCTAAATTTATGAAGAACAATTATTTATTTGCAAACTTTTATAACAGAAACAAAGAAAAACGTGGTTGGTTTTTTTTTTTTTCAAAAATTTCTGTCTTTTTTTGTTAATTTAGCAAAAAATAACCCCAGCGGTGATTAAATACCACCAAAAGAAAGCTCTAGTTGTGTGAAGAAAATGATAACATTTTAGTTTGGGTACAATATTGCATGACTGCGCAATTGTCATTGTGTGAGAGAGTGCTGAAACCTGAAAAATGGCAGGAAGGGGGTAAAAGTGCCCGGTTTGGAAGCGTTTAAGTAAACTTATTAGGTTATTTATAGCATGTCCAGCCCTTCCTAAATAGGGAATTGCAGAAAGGGTGCATACTGTCTTCCTCTGCTGTTCTCACCAGTTTCTGAGCCTTTTCAACTCTGAATATTCTATTCCATCTATAGGACTTGTTTTTGGAACATAAAGGGAAAAAATAACATTTTAAACACAATATATGCTTTTATTTCTGGACAACACTGGGCACTTCAGTCAGCTATTGACATAATTAAGTTTGACAGGTACTTTAGGTTAACCATGAACTGATCTTTATCTAGCAAGTGATGTGTTTGGAGGAGTGAATGACTTGTGTTAGTCTATCCAGTCCTAAGATTGACACCGCCGTACCCCACAGCTAGTCTGTTGATTACTCTACTACAGTAGAGCCACACAGTTGTGTAACCTTGTTACACTGCTTCCTTACAGGAGAAATGAACACTATTTGCCAGTAGCTAACTAGCCAAACCTAGGTTTTGACGTAAACTAAATTGATTTTCATGCTAGTTGAACCTCTGACAGCAGCAGGAATTAATATTTAATTTAGCAGTGACTGCCTCCCCTCTGATTGTTAGAAAGCTGGCAGCCACCGGCATCCCAAGAACCATTCCTCTTCCAGGCCCAGTTCATTCAGCTGGAGATTCCTGGCTAACAGCTTAATGCAAACAAAGGGGCAGGAATTGTGTTAAAAAAAGAAAAATGGCACGGGGTCCCCCATCATATTCATACCAGATCCTTTGGGTATGTCCCATGATGTAAATCATGTCATCCAGAAATATATATCCACATCAATCACAAACAACATCTGCCAAAAATAATCTGATCCCAGCTCTTCACTTATGCCGAAGTTAACAAATAGGTAGGATTCTGTCAATATTGGTCAATGTTACCTGGGAGAAGTGTTTTGCTCTGTGATTTTTGAGGGACATCTCTTCTGATTTATTATCAATGCCATTTTTCTGGGATGCCACCAGTGGCAAAAGTTTAAAAAAAAAAAAACAAAAAAAGAAAACCTACTTGCATCTAGGATGCTTGAGTGCAGGGAGTGGTATCCCAGGGCTGCAAATTGGAGTCTGTTTGCCGCTCTCCTTGATTAGGACCTTGAACTGGAGCCTCCAGGATTTGCTGTTTGAAATGAACACAAGGCCTGGCGGAGGCAACACGGTCCCAAAGAGCCCTGCTAAGGGCTGCAGCCAGTGAGAAGGCCACGGGTGGTGAGTCTCACCTGGCTGGTGGGGGAGAGGAGGGGAGGTAGGTCCTTACCCACTCCTACAGGTGTGCCTGCGGGGAGGAAGAACCAATTAAATGGGCCCCTTGTTTCTTTCCCTAGAGATGTGTGGAACCGCTCAAGAGAGCACCCACAAAAAACATCTAAGGATAAAGCCACCGCTCCAAACAGTGTAGTTATTGCAATGTTAAAGTTTGGCCAGACCCTTCTGTTACAAATGTATTTACAAGTTATCAGGAAAAGAACCCTCAGCATTTATGAAGGATTTTTTGTTGGTGCAAACAGATGTTCACCACCTTATAATCCTTCAAGACAGCCCTGACATCTAGAGAGGTGGATACTCGGTCCCCTAGGGTGGTCCTGTCTTCCCTGGAGGGGTCTTGTGTGAGGAGGCAGTGGGGGAGTTTAGGTCCCTCATCCTTGCAGGCAACCGCGGAGGAGGAGCTGGAGGTTTCTTACCAAAGCTCCCTGGTTGAGGGGAAAGAATTGGAAGGTGATAGCCAGGCTAGTGGGGAGTCTAAACCGGGTAGACACCTTTTGTGGCAGATGATATGGAGGGGCTCCTAAGGGCTATTTACACCTCAAAGGACATCCAAGAAACACCTACGCAAGCCTCAGCTCAGGATAAGATGTATAGGGGGTTGGTGAAGTTGCATGCTAGGGTACTACCCTTACACCAAACTCTAAAAGATATTGTTTTGAGAGATTGGAAGGATCCCAAGAGGAGAGTCTTAAAGCAACAGCAGAACCTCAGTTATAGGCAGGGGGTCCAAGGGGCTTCAGA